CCCTCTAACACCCACCCTGACCTTACAGGTCCATACTCTCTAGTTTGGACAATCCTTCCATGATAGTTGTCATCATTTACCCTGCATGGTTGACATGAAAACATTAAGTGAGCAAACACCAGGGGAGCTTCCCAGTGTATACACCCCATCATGATCATTTTCCTCCTCTCTGTTTGATGCTCATCTCCACTGGCAACATTTGATGCCATGTTCCGTAACTGGTGCTAAGAATCAAGGGACAAAAATGCCAGAATGGGACACCATCATGGTTTTACCTAGCCACGACTCTCCCAGTTCCCAGTGGAAGAAATAGTCAAGGAAAACATCATAAAGAAGCAAACATGTAGCTTTTCTGTGGGGGGAGAGAAAAAGGAGGTAGGGGGGAGAGATGGGAAGAGAAATGGAAATCGCCATTATTCTTAATCATTACATGGTGCATTAGAATAATATGATTATTCAGTGGCATTCTAATTAGGGTTAATGAAGAGAAATAGGTGTGAGAGAAGCCCTGAAACGTATAAAATTTTACGTGGTATACCTACGACTCCCCCCACCCCCAGTAGGGAAGCACAAGGACCCCACATCAGGACTCAGAACTCAGAGGTTAGAGCAAGAGGCAACCTGGGCCAGCAGGTGTCCAACCATAACTCCCAATGGGTGTGGTTGACAGGATTGATAACCAGGAAACCATGTTCACTCAGTATGTCAAAGAATAGACAGTCCTTGGCAGGTGAGGAGTGGGGGGGGACTAGCAGAATGACACCCCTGTGAGCTGTGAGTAGTACAGACTCTTGCTGTAGAAGGCAGAGGGATAGGTGGCACAGGTGTGATATTGTGTGAGTTGTGACCCCCTGCCCCCATATACCTACCTATAAAGGATATCACAGGATATGTATGAGTTAGGAATGGGGCAAGGGTCAGATTTAGTGGGTAAATGCCCTAGGAGGTTTCAAGATCCCCAAATAACTGGCTACAGAGAAGATAGAGGGGAAAACTACCTAGCCCTGCCTTTGCTGTCTGAGCTAGGGTCTGCCTTCATGTTGATGAATTCACCATAGACTTTGTGGTTTTTGAGGCCATGTCTCCCAAGAGCTATTCAGCTGGATTCCTGGTTACTAGTATGTTGGCCTTCTTCCCTCCTTCCCTCCCTGTCTCTCCCTTCCCTCCTCCTTGTTTTGGGTGGAAAGGGGACTATTCAGAATGAGGGCAACATAGGCCATGATCCAGACCAGAGTGAGGACAGAAGAGTAGAATATAGTTTAGATTAGTTCCTTTGAGCCCTGAGGGCTTCATGTGTATGCCAGTTGGGACAGCTTAAGTTATGTTGGTTAAAAAAAATTCAGGAGCTTCCTATAACAAAGTCTTATTCTCATTTATCTTACATGTTATTCACAGGCTAGCTGGGGGCTCTACTCAAGTGTTGTCGTCACTCCAGGACCCCAACTGACAGAGAAGCTGCCATCTGGATTACTGCAGGTTGTCAAAGCAGAGGGAAAGAGAACTCTAGCAATTAAATGCTTCAGCCTAGAAGTGACACATGGTAATTCTGCACATAACTCATTGACCAGAATGATCACATGGTTCCTACCCAACCATAAGGAGGCCAAGGAGGGCAAACCTACTGCGTGCCAAGCAGGTGGCGAGTTAGAAATATATGGTGAGCAGCATGAATGAGTTTAAGAGGTCCATGATCTCAGCGCGCCTGGGTGGCTCAGTGGGTTAGAGCCTCTGCCTTCGGCTCAGGTCATGATCCCAGGGTCCTGGGATCGAACTCCGCATCGGGCTCTCTGCTCAGCGGTGATCCTACTTCCCTCTCTCTCTCTCTCTCTCTCTCTCTCTCTGCCTGCTTCTCTGTCTGCTTGTGATCTCTGTCAAATTTAAAAAAAAAAAAAAAAAAAGAGGTCCGTGGTCTCAAACCCATTGCCCAGGCAGTTTCCCAGACTTGTGTCCATCAGCAACTCAGTCATCAAATATTTGCTGAGAACCTATTCTCAGTCCATCACTGGGCTAGATTCTGGGAATACAAAGGTGAAAAAGAATGGCCTCTGCCTTCTAAGACCCTAAGGACTTATGTGGCAGGTGGAGGGACAAACAAACACCTGGGACCCATTATTGTAAATGCTATAAGTAAATGCTGGTACTATGGGAACATAAGATCTACACTGAGAAGTCTGGGCTGGCTTCTTGAAGGAGATGATGCTTGAGCGGATCCTGAGGCTTAAGGATGAGTGAGGCAGAAGAAGAAAGGGAAGGGCATTTGAAGCAGTGGGAATGGTATATGTAAAGGCCTAGAGGCAAGATGCTTTCAGGAAAGACTAAAATATGGCTGTCACGTGGGGTATGGAATACAATCAGTAAGAGATGATGTTGGAGGGGTAGGCAGAGGCCATGTCAGAAAGGCATTTCCCACCTTCCTAAAGACTGTCCTTTACCCTGTGTGTAGCAAGAAGACATCAGACTTTGAGCTGCATTTTGGACAACTCTTTTGACTATTACGTGGGGGGAAAAATCACTTTACTGGGCTGAGAATGGAGCCAGGAAGAACAGTCGGGAGATGGTGGCAGATAGTAAGTCCAGTGAGAGATGCTGGTGGTCTGACCCAGGCAGAAGCAAATGAGGATGGATGGTAGCAGACAGAAGTGCGTAGCTTAAAGCCGCCTATCAAGTGGGTAGGATTGGTTGACCAGTTGGACAGGGTACACCTGTTATGAAAGAGGGGCCGGAAGTTGTGTCCTATTTTCTTTCTGTGCAAGTTTACTCTGTGTTGTCTGCTTTAACTGTTTTCTAGAACAAGGCAGGGCATAAAACTATTATTCAATCTGTCAGTATTTCTTATTTGCCAGCGATGCACTAGACACAGGGGATTCAATGTGAATCCTTGCTTCCTTCCCAGCCATACTGGGGAGGGACTGGGCTGGCTAGAGGCAGGAGTGAGGTGGGGGGTGGGGGATGTCTAGACTTGCCTTGCACAGGTGCTGTCCAGCTTCATTTATCCTAGCTCCATCTTCACAAAGTTCACCAAACCCATCTCTCAGTTATATTGTTATTTCTTTAATATCTTTATTGACACCAACTCACTTTTTAAGCTTAATATATCTACTTAACTTCTTCCTAAGCAAAATATCTATAGATCAAATGTTTGAATACACTAGCGATATTTTATGTAATACACGTTAAAATAAAACAAACGAAATTTAAAAATAAAAATTTTTTCAATGTCCACATGTCACCAGAAAACATCTTGTAACCACACTTTGAAAAACACTGTCCTGGGGCGCCTGGGTGGCTCAGTGGGTTAAACCTCTGCCTTCGGCTCAGGTCACGATCTCAGGGTCCTGGGATCAAGCCCCACATCGGGCTCTCTGCTCGGGAAACCTGTTTTCATAGCGGGGAGCCTGTTTTCCCCTCCCTCTCTGCCTGCTTCTCTGCCTACTTGTGATCTCTGTCTGTCAAATAAATTTAAAAAAAGAAAAATTAAAAAATTAAAAAGAAAAACACTGTCTTGTAAGGAAGGGCCTAGAATAAGTCCAAAATCGTGATTTTTTTTTTTTCAGTGTTACTCTCTAGGTGGCCAAATGACCTCTCTTCATCATTTTTGTACTCCAATCCTTTTGGCAAAGATGCAGTCCCTAACCTTTGCTCTTGCTCCACGCCCTTCCCAACTGCCCAAGCTTTAGACATTCAACAGTACACATGTTAAGGGCTTCCTGTGGGCCAGGCCCATGCTATAAGCTCATGGATGGCGCCAGCGGCTACTTCCTTGCCAACATGACTGGACAGTGTCTGGTCGAGTGCCTGCTGATTTACCTGGCCCCGTGCTGAGATAAGAAGCATCATTTAGGTCGCAGGGGTACCCCTGTTTTGGCATGGCCATGGACGAACACACTTGGTGTGAAATGCCAGGAATCACTGACATACATGGAATGTTCTCAGGGGGCCTTGAAGTTCTCTGCTCCAAGAGCTCCCCAGTTGCTGGACGTCGCCTTTTCCTCTCAGGAGGCAGGCAGTGCAGCTCAGCTGGGTTACTCCCAGTTTCTCTATTAAAGCCTCCTTAGGCAGCTTCATTGACAAGTTAACCTGTGTCTTTAGCCGTCACGTTCTGACCCTGAACTCAGGATCCTAACAATGTATCATTAAGGTCATTGCTTGCAAGCACCAGGCATTGATCCTGGAGAAAAGGGGGATTTTATTAGAGCAACACTGGAGAGTTTGCAGGACTAGAGAGGAGATGGGCAATGCGACTTCAGGTGGGGCAGGAACCTGAGCACTTAGGTAATTGGAAACCATAGGATCCTTAGAGGGCTGCCATCATGTGACCCAGTCTCAGAAGCTGATTGGCTGAGCTCACATCCTGGCCCCACCCCTTATGGGGGGCAGGACAATATGGTTGACAGGACTCTGAAAGAGGAACGGGGAAGTGGGGTGCTGTATCATAAAAAGAAGAAAAGAAAACTAAGTTTGAGAAAAGCCAGATGTCTGCTGCCGAGTCACACAAGGAATAACAAAATGAGAAAACTGGGGGGTAATGTAGGGCTCCTTAACTCGACCCAACAAGCTGGAGATTAGGAAATCAAGACCTAGAGAGGCGAAATAATTGTCTGAGCTCCCTGGCTCTTCCCTGACAAAGCTGCGTCCCAAATGACAGGGAGGTTCTCTGACTCTTAGGGCAGGGTTTTCTTCTATTTCACATGCTCTGTCTGTGGACAAAGAAAAAAAACGTGTGGCGGTTGAGTCTCTGGGATCTTCTCCTCACTCCCAGCAGGTGTATTTCCATTCACTTATTCTTAGAGCATCTTTACCTTAATATTTTAGTGGTCCATAAAAGAGGGCAGGACAAAAGCCCACAACATAAATGGAAGTCAATACCGTCTAGTGGACCCCAGGCATGAAAGGGTCCAGTAGGGTCACTTGAGACCACTACTGCCCCAACAAGGAGCCATTGAGGACAGATGGCTCAGGTTGACTTCCCTTCTTCTCACTAACCCCAGGATACCCGTCTTCCCCCAGTTCCAGAAGACACCCCAAGGAAGATGAATTGGGCTGTTGACTCTGAGCAGAAGGAGACTGAGAGCCTCTGCCTCTTCCAGAAGCAAGGCACTGCCTGGTGCCCGCGTCTTGGAACGTGCTGGCTTCATTGCTCTGACAGCATGAAGGATGTTTGGTTTTGTTCCCAGTGCTGTTATCATTTATCATCCTTTTGTAAAAGCTGGCACCCTCCACCTGTCCCCTCTTCCTTCTCACTGTCTCCCAATCCCCACCTCCAATCCAACCTCCCCATCCTGCCTGTATCCCCTGCCTCTGAGGGGAAGCCTCTCGTATTTCACCCTAGGGAGAAGGCTCCCACATTGGTTTCCAGAAGCCCAAGAGACACCCAAGTTGAATTCAACACAGTTGCTGAGCAATTCCTGTGGGCAAACTGCTGTGCTTTGGATGGCAAAAGACCCTGACTTCAGGCACCTTGCATTCCAGCAAGGAAATAACCATGAAGCTCCTCACAGCAAAACACTGGCATGCACCGGCAGAGATGGAGGAGAACCACACGTCCAGAGAGTCTGGGAAAGGCAGAGCCAAGAGCCTTTTAAAGAATAGAAGCAGGAGGGTGGACGATGGTGGAAGACAGAGGTGCGGACAAAGACTGAGCGTGGAGATCTTCAGGAAAAGATGGCTGAGAACACAAAGAAAGAGATAAAGTCACAGCTGGAAGAGGAGCTGTCAGAGGTGAGCAGGCCTGAAGGTGGGGGAGGAGTGGCCGTGGAATGGGCAAGGTTGATGGGACAAGAGAGAACATCATGGATGGCGCACAGGCCCAAAAGGGGCTGGTGAGGCAGGGAGGAAGTCAGGCTGGCTATGGAGGGAGACACCTTGTTTGAAGAAATAAGAAAACATCTTATTTCAAGGGCAAAGGAAAGGAAGACTGGTATGTGGTCATGGGGGGAAACTGGGTGATAGAAGGGAGCTCTATTGGCTCCATCTTTGAGGTGAATCAGAAGTGATGTCACCTGCTAAAGGATGGATTTGTTTGAGATCTTCAGAATGCTGAAAATTGGAATATCCACGGAGAATAAAATAAAAATATAGGGGGAAATATAAAATAAAAACCCTGAGGAATAAAAGAGCTGTTTAACATTAAGGCCACTGCAGAGAGTCATTCTCACCCCTGGGCCTTTGCACATGCTGCTTCCTCTACTGGGAGCATGACACCACCCACTCTTTACATGGTTAGTGTTGTCTCCTCTTTCAGATCTTGGTTTTAATGTTGCCTCTTCAGATCAGCCCTCCCCATCCCATTATTCTCCATCTCAGTTCCTTTATTCTTTTCTAGTGCTCACGCTTATAATTACTTCATTAGCTGCTGCTTCTTTTTCTTAAATTTGTCTCACCCAGCTAGTAAGGAAGCTCAGGGGAGCAGAGACCCACCTGTCTGGTTTACTAGTGTATCCTCAGTGTCTAGCCACGGGTCAGACGCGTAGCGGGAACTCAGCGAATACCTACCTGTTTGAGTTCAGGAATGCATATTAAAGAATGCGTGTAGCTAGGGGAGCAGCAGCCAGGCTGAGCAGAGCTCCGCAGGGTTGAGGGCAGCAGGCAGAAGCTAAGGAGATGGGGATAAGAAACTTATGGGTGGTGGGAGGTAGGGGGTAATCTGTGACAGATAAAAGGAGGCAAATTCATAGCATGTGGCCCATAACACAGAAATGGATGGAGTTGGGGGGAGGGGAGTGCGATTGCAGGGGAGGTAGGGAGCTGGGTAGAAACAGAAGAAAAGCAGAGGTAGGCTCAACCCACGAGTTAGTGGTCAGATGTTTGCAGAAAATGGAATGGATTGTCCAGGATGTAGGCTTGCCAGACTGAGCCAAGGAGCATGTGGGGCACCCAGTTACACTGAAATTTCAGACAAAAACCCCTAATAATCCCATGCAATATTTGGGACATGCTTAGACTATAATAAGATCATTCCTTGTTTATCAGACATTCAGATGTATCTGGGCATCGCGGATTTTCTCCGGGAATCCTACAAGGATGGTGAGTTTTTGTCCCTGGAGGTGTACAAGCTAAGTCTGGAACACTGCACAGAAGGCTCCAGTATGGTGAATGATAGAGATATGGGATGGTGGGCTTCAGCTGAGGAGCCCCACCCCACCCCCCAACCCGGATTCAGTTTCTGCAGCCTCTCTCCCCGGGGCAGAGTGTTCAGGCAAGGGCTCCCCCAGAGGATTTAATTCACTGTCCCTGAGCCTGGCAGTTCCTTGTTTAGAGCTCTGTCCTTCAGCGGCTTGCATCCCGCACCCCACATCCCGCACCCTACATCCCACATCCATTAGCAGCTAGTCTGGGGAGGGGTTGGTGGTGCAGGGGGGCCGAGCTCATTCCTACCACTGGGCTGGACACAGACTTGGCCCCACCGACCCACCTGCCCCCCAGGGCTGGGCTTCCTTCTCCCTCCTCACCCTTTATCAAATGCCTCTCCTGGGTGGCAAGCTAAGTCACCCGCCCCCGGGCTGCTCCCTCACCCTGCCGTCAGCACACACACTCGATTAGGGGGATCCGAGTGACTTACAGGGGCCCCTCTTCCCCAGGGTCGGCATTTGCATAGGGTGATGGATGCAGAGATGTCATCTAAACACATCGGCACTTTGCATTTTAAACAAAGCAATTTCCAGAGGAAGCCCGGGGAGCTTTGTCTCCTTCCAGGAACATTTCCTCAGAGCCAAGTTCTCTTTCCTTTTGGCCAGCATTTTCCACCACATCGGTCCCCAGTCCCTCTCCTCAACTGGCCTCCTGCTCACTCCCCACGTCCCACCGCATTCGCACAGTACTGACCCCGGTGTGGAGCAGGGGCGGGTTGCGTGTTCCCTAGGATGAGGAAGGACGTCGATCCCTGGCCCCCTCATAGGTGCCTGACATCTACACCCTCTCCCAGGCCTGCCCTGCGGGAGATCCTGCAGAGTAACCTTGGCCGGAGCCAACCACCTGCCAACGTGGTTTGAGAGACACAAGATACTCGCTCCAAACATCTGTGTCCACCTCCCCCTCCCAAGATGCCAGTTGCCCCTAATGTCCTCAGTGTTCTGTCTGGGGGACTCTAGATTCCTTCTCGAAGCTCTCACTTCTGATATCACACAGCTGAGACTTCTCCTCTTTACAAGGCTAAGCCTTCTCCCCAGAGACCTTTAGTGTTGATGATAAAAATGTCACCATAATATTGGTCCATAATGTTAGGCTGAACGTTCCCCCCGCACCGCCCAAAGACAAGCAGGAAAGAATAAGGTAGGAAGTCCCTGGAATTTTGTCCCCAGTAATATGGTCTGAAGGCCAGCAGCACCCTCCCAGCTCAGTTGCTTACAAGGGGCCTGACTTGAGGGGGTCTAATACCGCTGTAGGGCACATGAGCAACAGGGCACAGAAGCCTGCTGAGAATGCTTATTCCGGGCCTCTCCTTTTCTTCCTGTCCAGCTACAAATATGAGCGAGCTGAGGTGGACGGGCAGCAAGCTGTCCTTGGCAGGTGTGGGGGCAGACATCTGCAGCAGGGGGTGGCTTCTGTGAGGTTGGGTGCTTCCCTGCTGTGGGAGGAGTGGGCGAGAGGAATCGACACGTGTTGAGTGCCTACTATTTGTCTGACCCTTCAGGTGGCTGGTCTGAAACACGGCATGGCAGTTAAGAGAAGGGGCTTGAAATGAGCCTGTACACATCTGGATTCAAATCCGTGCTCTATGACTGTAAGCAAGTTGGTTAAGCTTTCTGAAGCTGAAAGCTCCCATAAAATGAAGACAGCGGCTTGTACGTCAAACACTCGTGGGGAATGGAGGGGACAACATGTGTAAAGTGTCCGGGATACAGTAACATCCCATTCATGTAACCTGTTAGCATCGAGACAGGGTCTGATCAGTTCACTGCGCCGCTGGGGAGGGAGTTGGCTGGCCTCGGGCCACACCCCCAGGAAAGGCAGAGCGGGGACTCCTGAGCCGAGGCCAGTGTGAATCCGAAGTTCCTGCTTGGCCCGGGAGCCAATCTGTTGAGGACAGAAAGCTTGAACCACTGTGTCTCAGTGGGAGAGACAGATCTGATGATGTTCCTCCCTTGCTTCAAACTCTACCAGGGCTTCCCCTTTATGCTGAGATAGCGATGTCCTGAACAAGGCTGTCCAAGTCCCGGGCAGGCTGGCCCCTCTTCTTTGCCTCTCCGCTGCCGCCCACCAAATCAGACGGTCTTTTCTTCCGGTCTCTTGAGCAAGCCTGGAACACCTCTTTCTCTCTGTCTTGGCCTGGACAGCTCCCTCTTGCCCTGAAACACCCTGCACGGCCTCCCCTCGCTCCCTCCACTTCAAATTTCAGTCTCTGCCTGCTTCTGCCATGTGGCTTCCTTGGCCAAACCTCCCCCGTCCCAAGGCTGCTTTGGTCCCTTGTTACCTGCTCCTGCTCCCAGGTGTCACGGAAAGTCTCCCGCATAAGAGACCCTCGCAAACCGCTAGTTCGAAGTTCATCTTCTCTGCCAAAGCAGCAGCACCCACCGTGCTCCCCAGATCTCACTCCCTGCCAGGTGAGGAATGAATGTACGAAGACGGCAGGCCGAAGTGACCAGAATCGCTCAGGAAAAAAGGGTGGCACACCTGGGATCAGAAAGGATTTGCCTTTCTGGGTGTTTGCTGAGAGAAGATACAACTCCCTGCCTGTGAACTTGGAGGCGGGTGCCCGGAAGGGCTCGTCCGGGTTCTGTGCAACGCTCCTGTGCCTGGCCAAGCCCACGGGCAGGGCTTCTCTGGGATTCCAGGGGCTTCTGTCCTTTGGGAGCGAAGTGAATTTGCAACAGAGGCAGAATAAAGTGTCGGAGGTGGTAGGGTCTTCACTCTTCCTCCAGGTGGCCCCTGACATACCCTCTGCGAGCGAGGAGATTTTGCTCCCTGGATCCGCTTCCGGCCCTCCCTCAGGTCCTGCAGGAGAGTGGAAGGAAGTCCAGAGGCTAAGCCGGCCTAGGCGAGGAAGAGCCCCCGAGGCTGAGCCGGACAAGCTGGGGCAGTCTGGAGGTGCCTGAGAGATCTGCGGGAGCGGCTCTGCGCGGGGCAGGGAGACGAGGAGAGAGTTTCTGATGAAGCTTTGCAACACATTAAAAATGTGATGTCCTGGGGCACCTCGGGGTCCTGGGATCGAGCCCTGCGTCGGGTTCTCTCTGCTCGGCGGGGAGCCTGCTTCCCACTCTCTCTCTGCCTGCCTCTCTACTTGTGATCTCTCTCTGTCAAATAAATAAATAAAATCTTAAAAAAAAAAAAAAAGTGATGTCCTGCAAATGGTGTGGACCAAGCTGAGGGGAGTAGCACTTTGGGCAATTCTGTGGCTTGCTGGGTTGTTGTTTTCTTTAGCAGTGAGTGGCTGGGCACTGGGGCTTCGTCTAGGACTTCCATTTAATGTGGGGCCTTAAGAATGGGCCCCGGAGTGGAAGTACAGTCCATTCTCTAGTCTTCCTGGGCCAGCCAAAGAGCCTGGCTTGCCCCCTCCTTTCTACCCTATTTTGGCCTCGCTCCAAGCTTGATCGTGGGGGCTTGTCACGTCTGCCTGTGGGAAGGTCTGGTTTTCTCTCTTCTCCACACGGGAAATGGGGAGAGACTCTTCAGGACCCAAATGAGAGCCCCGGTGCCTTCACTTTGCCTTGTGACAGCCAAAGGGCTCTTGGCACAGATGGGCTGGGCATTTGGCTGACTGCTTTTGAGGCTAGAGAGAGAGCAACGGAGGGTGGTGGCTGGGCGTGAGAGGGAATTCATGGCTGACAAAGATCTGTCTGAACATCTGTGATCAATGAAGTTCATTCACTGCTCCCTATTACCTGCCTCTATGGCCTGCTGCCTTCCTGGCATCTCTGCCTCGACATTCAGCAGCATCTCCAACTTAACGTGGCTGATTCTCCCACCTGGCCCCCAGACTTGCCTTCTCTGCTTCTTTCCACCTCAGTGGATGACAACCCTGGTGGCTTCAAATTAGAGCCAGGACCCAAGAGTTTCTTCATGCCTGTTCTCCTCTGACCCTGCTCCAAGCCATTCACCTCATCAGTGGTCTCCTGGTTGGTCTTATCAATCCAGCAGCCAAAGTCTCCTGTTGAGATATGCAATCATGGCGTTCCTCTATTCAAAATCTTTCAGTTAAGAGTGAAAACCTCACTTACTATGGCCTCATGTTCCCTGTATGACTTGCCCCACTCCCTCTTGCCTCAACCCATTCCACTTTAGCCACACTTGCTTCCTTGATGTTCACTGAACACACATGGCATACTGCTACCTCAGGGCCTTTGCACATGCTGGTCCTGCCTGGAGAGCTTTTTCTCTGGATACCCACGTGGCCCTCACTTTCTTCACCTTGCTATTACACGTGACATTCTCACTGAGGCTGCTCTGACCACTCCTTTTAAAATTGTATCCTGCCTGCCCATTCCTGATCCCCCATACCCTGCTTTTTCCCTCATGGAACTTACATAAAAAACTATGTAATTTGGTTATTTATTGTGCTCGTTGTCTCTTTCTTCCTCTCACTAGAGTGTGCGCGCCATGAAAAAAGAGATTGTGCTTGTTCTCTTTACTGATATAGTCTCTATGCCCAGAACAGTGCCTGGCACAGGGCAGACCCTTGGTAAATATTTTTTGAAGGAATGAATGACCCTAAGTTGTTTTTTCCCCTTTCACTTCCTTGGTAACAAAAAGGGGAGAGTATTTGGAGAATGAATGAAGAGAGATAAAGATATGAATGAGGTTTATTAGCTAATCTGATCACAATTATCCATACAGATGGGAAGAATTAGTACAGAAAATCCTAAAATACAGATAGTCCGGGAAGTATTTCTATTTTGATTATGTGATGTGATGTTATGGTTGACTCTTTCCTATTTTTCCTTAAGGTGGCAGCATGAATACCAGCTGTGTGTTTGTGTGTGTCTGTATGTGTTAAGTGTGTATGCATACACACCTGTGAAGTAGTGAGGGGAAATTACATTGGGAAATTACCTAAAAATAATCCACAAACTGGGTACTTTCATTCCTACAAAACATTTCATGCATAAGACTTGCTAAGTATCAAGTTCAAAGACTACTATGTGAATATGATCTTCCAAGAGCTTCAGGAAACTTACAAACAGCTCATTGGAAGTTGACTAGAGCCTGAACTACCCATGTATATGAGTTCTGTGGGCATCAAGGTTGGCTGGTTGTCTTCTAGACTTCCAATTCTACTCTTCTTGTGTAACAGCTGGACAGTTAAGGGGGACTAGTGCTCCCCTGAAGCTGGTACAAGTGATCCCTTAAGAGAAAAGCACAAGAGCCATTCAGATTCAGAATGATGCTCAGATATTTTCCATGGTTGTAGGAGAGATGTTCTTTCTCTGCTTACGATGTGAAACAAAACGCTGGCAGCCCTCTTGCTACTATGAAAGAGGCTAGCTTGAGGACAAAGCAGACAGCAGAGGGCAGAACCGAGAACCAGAGAAGCAGAGCCACAGCCCTATAGACTTTGTGAACCTCTGGATCAAACCCTACCTGATGCTTGCACCATTTCTGGACTTCACATAAATCCAAGACAATAAATCCACTAAGCTGGTATAAACCAGGGTGTCTTTTATTTGCAATGAAAGGCATCCTGATACAGTGCTCCTTTCTTTTAGGCCAACCCCTCTGCTTGCCATGCTCCCAAGTGTGGATGACACCTATGTCTTTCGTGCAGCCAGCATTATGATCACGCATACACAGACACATTTCAGAATCCTAAGGCAGTGAACTCTTTTTGGTTCACATACATGTGATGTTCCATTTTTCTGGCAAAATGAAGATTAACTAGAGTGCCTCACGTTAATGTCAAAACTCTAGTAGCAGGGGGCCTCACAGACCTACCTACGTTTTTCAAGTTGCATTCCTGAAGCTTTGCTGAACATGCTTTTAAAATGCCTACTTGGGGGCACCTCGGTGGCTCAGTTGTTAAGTGTCTGCCTTCGGCTCAGATCATGATCCCAGGGTCCTAGATTGAGCGCCCCCATCAGGCTCCCTGCTTGGCTTGGCAGGGGGTTCTGCTTCTCCCTCTCCCACTCCCCCTGCTTGTGTTGTGTTCTCTCTCACGCTGTTGTCTCTATCAAATAAATAAAACCTTAAAATAAAAAAATAAAATGCCTACTTGAACGCCTGGAGAACTCTGAGGCCTGTTCTCCAGCCAGCCAGGCCCAGCATCGGCCTGAGGCCTGAGGGCAGCGCTGTCCAAGGGACAGCGAGCCCGGAAAGGTCACGTGTGAAGAAACTCTCCAACAGGCCGTTCCTTATTTATTAGATGCCAGATACACGGGACCAGGACAGAAGACTCCTAGGGCATGTGATTTACACGGGGTGGGTCCCAGGGGAGAACACAGACAGGAGGCAGAAATACGTACATGGGGGGAAGCAAAGAAGGACCGCCATTTCAAAAAATATATACATCTTATGAAGCCATTCCAGCCATTTAATCATTATCAGAAAATAAAACAATCTTTCCACATCATGCGTTTCTTTGGTGCTCTTCCATGGGCCGGGCCCTTCTGTCTTCCCGTCCCGTTTGTCACCCCTGCCCTGCGCCCCGCCCCGGACTTCTCCCATCCGCACAGGGGTAACGGAGGGCCTGGGGGAGGGAAGAGGGGAGCCCCTGCCACAGAGCTGGGTGTTGATTCTGGCTACTCTGAAGCCCTGCCTGGCCTCCCCACCAGCGCCCCAGTTCGGTCTCGAGTCTTCTACTCGGTTCTTTAGTCGTGGCCTGGGAAATCCTCGGTTTTCTGGATGCAGAAACGGGGGGCCACCACCGAGGTTCATGTGTGACACAGTCAGTCTAGAAGTTCTAGAAAGGGTGGGGACACGGGAACCAAACAAAACCCAGCCAATACCACCTTCTCCATGGTTGGATTTTTACATTTTATTTCTTGGTTCATTTCAATGACCTGTATCATGAGTGTACAAGTGAGAAGGGCAATTTCGTCTTTACAGATTTTCCATGAACAGCAGATTTGGGGACAGGGAGGGAGGCAAGCAAGTTCTGCCCATTTGGGGGGGTAGGGCGGGCATCCTAAACTCTCCTCGCTTCACCATCCCCCACTAAGTCAGGGCCCCCTTTCCCAGGGAGGCCCCAGAGCTGGCAAGACCTCCAACTAAAAAGTTGGCCTACATTTTATCTGACCGTCCGATAGCTCCGTTAGTACACACCAGGGCCTCTCCCACCGGCCAGAGCTCCCAGCGCACCGGAGCCATCTCCCGCGGCCACTGGGGTTTCAGAGGAAGAGCAGCGCCCCACATGCTTGCACAGAGCCACCTCCCCTTCACTGCTAGAGGGAGGATCTGATGACAGGACGCTTGCAGAGGCCCCGGACCCATCCACACACTGTGCACGGACTCCCACCCACCCCAAACCAGTGCAGTGAAGATGCTTCTCCTAAAAACGGCTGGTCGCAGATACCAGCCTCGCACAGGCCCCCGCCGTCAGCTCAGGCCTCACGCTGACACCAGAAGTGCCACCCACGGAGAAGGTGCCACCCTCAGCGCCCCTCCCCCCCCACCAAAGCACACAGCACAGCAGAAGGCGGGGGGGGGGGGGAGAAGCTCCCAAGGAGCATACCCCAGCTTCTCTCACCACGAGGGATCTCAGGCTCTGACCTTAGGGTATGGCTCCTCACAGCTCTCAGACTGGGGGCTTTGCGTGGGTCCCTTGATGTTTTCATGCCTGTGAGCCCACCTTGGGACTGCCCAGGCAGCTAAGGATGAAGCATCCTGGACAGTAATTCCAATGCAGACCGTCAGGTGGCTTTGGCCTTGCACTCCCCACAGGCTAACAGGACAGCACACTTCACTTGGCTGTGAGGCCTCTTGGAACACTCTTATCTTGTTCATGAGGACATCAGAGAGCCACTCTGCGGCCTCTGGGTCTCAGCCAACCCTCAGGCCTGGGGCGACCTCACAGCACAGTTCAGAGGGGTGGTGTCTGGGGGCAGAGAGGCAGCAAGGTGAAACCAGCATCACCTGCTTCCCATGGAAGGCTGCAGGGCCGTAGGAGCCAGCACCTGGCCACCTGGTGTCCTAGCGACGGGCAGGCCGATCCACCAGCCTCTCCAGGTGCTAGGAGGTCTGGGTCAGTGGGCATGGATCCCCCAGAAAACTCCCAGGTAGGGCTGCTCTGGTCTTTGCTTCAGAGGGTGCCTTCCCCACCACGCCTGACCCCGCCTTCCTCGTCGGGGGACCCTCTCAGCTGCCATCGGCCAACCTGTGCTCAGCAGATGGGCTGGTTAAGAGCTGTTCGAAGTGGACCGACTCTCAAGGCCACTCACAGGAATCTGGTGACTGTCCCCATCTACCTGGGGCTGAGGGGTTTCCCGGGACACGACTTTTCAGTGCTAAAACCAGGAACATCCTGGGCAATCTGGGGTGGTCAGTCACGTGACACAGCGGCCAGGAAGACGGTACCGGGGGTTCCCCCACAGGGCTTGGCCCTTTGCAATGCATTTGGGGAGCTATGTCATGCCTCAGTCTCAGGATGGTAGCAACAGCCCCTCCTGTGACACTGATTGGCCCAACCATTCGGAATGCAGGGCACGGGGTGACCTGGTGTCTACTGCCCTCAGAAGCTAGCCCCATGGGGATCTCGGCCGGCAACTTCCCGAGCACACCATCTTCAGGGTTCCCCACCTGCTTATCTTGCTTCTGGGATTTTCTGTGCTCAGCAAAGATTGGTTTGAGCCTTTCCCCATTTTGCCCCAAGCCTCCCAGGACTGCCAGCCTGGAAATCAGTGCCTAGGGTGCCCTCAGAGGTGGCCAGGCCCCTAGTCTCCCCCAAATTGCCACAGGCCCATCTGCTCTGAACTGGCCGGAAGGCTGACAGGGCCAAGCAGGAGGAGGAGCTCCGCGGAATATTGCCTGGCCCTGCTCTTTTCAGAGGCAGCACTGTTCCCAGCTATGGACCTGAAATCCCCTTGGCTGGCTGAACCCACCACGTGAGCTGAGGTAGGGGCAGGAAGTAGCAGGGATCTCCTGGGAGAGGAGAGGGGAGAGGAGAGGGGAGAGGAGGAGGAGAGGTGGGCCTTGGTGCTGTGGTGACAAGCAGGTGTGCGGGTACCAAGGGGTGGGTGCCCAGGAAGATGCCCGAGCTCTGGCAGCTGCTCTCTGGATGGGGGTCCCTAACGGGAGGGGAGTGTGCACCAAGCAGAAAGGCTGCAGGGCAGGAGGCCCTGGGACTGGGGAAGGTGTGTGGCCGCTGGAAGAGCCCCAAGTAGCAGAGTGGCAGGGCCTCTGGAAGAAAGTCCCGGCCCTCTGGAAAGGGACAACTTCCAGGGGCACCCAGCCTGAATTGGGTGGGGTCCTGGGCGCTAAGCACTGCCCACCCTGTGGGGTAGGGGGGTGGGGGTGGGGTTAGGATACGCACTACTGTTCTCCTGGGGCTTTCATGGGCGGAAGGGGCACTTCCTCGATGGTCTCCAGTTTCAAGGGAGTCAGCCCCTGCCCAGACCTCAGCACTGCCCATGGAGAAGGAAAAACATACCCAAGAAAAAGCCAGTTACAGATGAGCCCACGCCCTGCCCTCCCCTCCCTGTTCCCCTGCCCCGCTGTACTCCGGACTCCACGAACAGCCGGGAGGCGAGGGAGCCCTTCCTCTGGGACTGCCCGTGGCCATGATACAGGGCTTGAAGGTCGAGGCTGGTGGCTGTGGAGGTCTCCGCGGCGGTCCGTCCGCCGGTCTGTCCGCGGGTGGGAGTCGGTCCAGGTGCCGGGCCATCAGACCTTGGCCTCCAGCATCTCCAGGAAGAGTTTGTGCATGGGCACCTTGCCCTGCAGTTTGACGCTGTAGAAGTGCTGCACGGCCTTGGCGGCCGTCTGCCGCAGCAGGGGCAGCGTCAGCAGCAGCTTGCCCGTCCTCCGGGGCTCCTCGTGGCGCTGGCTCAGCTCGTAGTCCTGCAGCGCCTCGTGCAGCAGGTCCTGCAGCTTCTGCACCGCCTCCAGATCCTCGATGTACATGGAATCTGCGGGCACAGGGGAGCGTCAGGGGGCGCGGCCCTGGGGGGGGGCGTGGCCAGACTTCAGCATGGGGGGGGATGTGGAGGGCGTGGCTTGGGGCCCTGGGCTGTTGCCCCCCTCTCCTCACTTTACAGAGAAGGAGACGGAGACTACGGAGGCTAAACTGCCAGCCTGAGGTCACAGAGGCCCGTGACAGAGCCGAGGCTTGGAGCCAGGGAGCCATCTCCACCTTGGAAGGTCATCTCTTGAGAAACCACCAAGAGGGGTCAGCGAAGACCCTGAAGGACTTGGACGTGAGAAGACTGGTCACTGCCCTGGAGGTGCCAGGTGAACTGTGGAGCCAGACTACTGGAGCTGGAGTCCTGTGTACCTCCCTTGCTAGCTGTGTGACTTTAGGCAAGTGATTTAACTTCTCTGTGCCTTACTTTTCTGAGACAATAGCCACAGGTACCTCAAGAGGTTAAGTGAATTATTGCAAGTTGAGGACTAAAAACAGTACTTGTCCCGAAGTGAGTGCCCCACTGGTGGCACCATGACCAGTATCATCACTGGGACTGTCACTGCTGCTGCCACCAGGCACCAGCCTGTCCGCTGGTTACAGCATGCAAACACACTCGGAGAAAGGGGCTGAGCTCTGTGCCCAGGTGCCCTGTGGCAGAGGTCTGGGCGGGGGCCCGAGACAGCATGGCCAGATGCATGGGCCACAGTGACAGCGGATGCTGTTGGGAGTCCTCTAAAAATCCCGAGGAGGGCTTTGGACTCAGCCATGAGTCACGGGTTCAAATGGAAGTTACCTAAATCCCAGCAGGGCAGGCGGGCATCTGCTGAGAGCTGGCTTACAGTGGGGTCTGAGCTAAAGCCAAGGCCATTTCCTGGCACCCAATGCCTGGACTCGAGGGAAAGAGCCCGCCTTCTTCTAATGTTCCTTAAAGAGCTCCAGCCAGCACCCTGCACTGCAGTGCCCAACCTGCCAAAGGCATGAAGCCCTGGGGGTCACATGGATCAAGTGAACTGGGAGCTCTGGGCAGGCGGCCAAGGCAGGCGGGGCAAGGCTCCCAAGGTCCTCAAGAGAGCAGGGCAATGCCCTTGCGTGCCAGGTTAGTTTAGGTACCAAACCGCGAAGGGCAGCTGTTCTAACTGGCTGACCCTGTGACTCCTTCCGTCTGACCTTTGCCAGCCACGCGCAGCCCATGCCTCCAGGGTCCTGCCTCTTCCTCCTGGGAGAAGTGCCAAATGAGGCAGATAAGACTCTGGAATCTTTGATGCTGCGTTACTCTGGCCAAGTTACTCAGGCTCTCTGAGATTGTATCCTCATCTGTGAAACGGAGCAAATGCCTCCATGCCTCAGAGGGTAGTGGTGAGGATTAAAAGAAACAGCACATTACCAGGCACTTAGTAAGCACCTGATAAATGTAGTATTATCATTACCATGAGGACTCAGCCTAGGGCGAGTGCCTTCAGCATGCTGGGGTGTTACCAGCCTCATACCCAAGATGCCTCCACTCCTACACTCTCGGCAGGTTCTAGAACGTGCATCCACGATGCGCTGGTCCCTCTAAGGCTGGGATGTGGCCATCCAGACCCCCTGCCTCCCCGCCAGCTTCCTTGCTCCTCCCCCTACCCTCCCCAAGGAGGCCCAAATTGGCAGCTGCCTTCGACCAAAAATGAAATAAAATAACATTGCAAGATTAATTTCTTTGCAATCCATCAGCGAGTCTGTATCGATGGCATTGATAAACTGTTAATTACAAAATCAATGGCTATGAATTTTTTCTGCTGTCAGGGAGCCTTGGAGATGCCTGGGACTTGGGGTGAAAGATGGCCACAGGATCCTGAGGGGCTGGGGTTGGGGACCCCAGCCTGTCTCTGATGTGCTTCAAGCTTCTACCTCACGCCAGCCCCCGCAGCCAGGTGAGTGGTTCCGCCCTGTGCTCTCCCCCTGTCCTGGGCTGCACAAACTCCACTTACTTCCTGAACTACCTGTACCTGCTCAGTGGCCTGGGAGAAAGGGCAAGAAGGGCAGATAGATCCCTGGCACTGTTTCTCGTGCGACAAAGAGTATACTCAGGCCACGCCTGATGCTAGCAAGGGTGCTGCTGAGCTCAGGTTTCTAAACCACGGCCAGTCATCAAGTTCTGTGTCCGCATGTGTGTGTGCACGGGTGTACACATGTGTGTCTGCGTATTTGAGCATATATGTGTGTGCGTTGAGTGTGCACATGCCTATGTCTGTAAGTGTGCAAGTGTCTGTGCATGCACATGCCTATACTCGTGACCACGTGTGTATCTACATGCGTGTCTACGTGTGCATGTATCGGTGTGCACCCAAGCAAGTGTCTGTGAGAATATGTGCATGTGTGTGCACATGTCTCTGTATGTGTGTGTGCACACATCATCTGTATTTGTGCACACATCTGTCTTCATGTGTATATGTGTGTGTGTGTGTGAGTGTGCACACGTGTGCCTGTGAGATCAGAGCAAGAGCAGATGGCAAAGCTGAAATGCCGTCTGAAAGCTGGCCCAACCGGGCACCGAGGCCAGTGGGGAGGAGGTGACAGTTGACCTGCCTCCCACCTCTTCACTCCCCTCCCCCGGCATGGGCCAGCCCAAGCTCTACATCAATGATGAAAAGGTCCAGAGAGTCTAAAATCAAGGATGTGCCCTCCAAGGCCTGGCAGCCTTGCTGGTTGCACCGTTCCCACTCCCATTTCCTCTGCTGCCTGTGGTCCCTCCGCCCACGCAAGCTCCGAGCTCCTCTTGCCAGGGCTGGTCCCCACACTTCCCTCTGAGTTGTTGAGTGCAGGCTTACGGGGTAGGGGGCTGTTCTGCAGGGCCGGTAAGGGGAGAGCTTTGTCACTACCCATTTGTCAAATCTGCAGACCCACACCCCACAAGGAGTAAGCCCTGATGTCATCTAGGGACTTCGGTTAATAATAATTTATCAATATTGGCTCATTCATTGTAACAAATTACTACACCAATACAAGATGTGAACAATGGGGGAACGGTAAGGAGTCATGGGTGCAGTGGTGGATGGGGTGGAATGGGGGCACAGACCTGTGGCACCAGCTGCTCAATTATACTGTAAATTTAAAACGATATTTAAAAAACCGAACAGGAGGACGCCTGGGTGGCTCAGTGGGTTAAGCCTCTGCCTGCAGCTCAGGTCATGATCTCAGGGTCCTGGGATTTAGCCCTGCATCGGACTCTCTGCTCAGCAGGGAGCCTGCTCCCCCACCCCACTCTGCCTGCCTCTCTGCCTACTTGTGATCTGGCAAATAAATTAAAACAAACAAACAAACAAACAAACAAACCACAACCAACAGGACTGGCATTCTCTCACAAAGAATATACTACCATTTTGGAATCTTAAAATGTAAACAGTCTGTATAAAACCTGTAAACTTTTCATTATCATTTTGCATTTGTTTAATTAAAAAAGGGAGTTAAACTAAAAAAAAAAAAAAAATGCTTCCCTCTCTGGATTAGATCAGGTTCCCCAAAAGCAGAGCCCCAAACCAGGGTTCGGATGCATGGGATGTCTGGGGGGTGTGCTTTCAGGAGAAAGGAAGGGAGAGAGGCAGGCGAGTGTGAGGGTGGAAGCAAGCAAGGTAAGCACATGGCTGTGGCTTTGGCCTGACCCACGCAGAGCTCTGATCCCACCCTGCAGGAGCCCAGCCTTTTGTTCCCCTGTGTGGGTCACCACTGGCTGAAGGTGCCAATGTACACAGCTTTCTAGGCAAGACAGGTGAGGGCAGGTCTTGGGGAAGGGGACAGCTGGGAGCTGTTAGCCCCGGAACTCAGCCGCTGGGGCACGGGAGCGCTACCCCAGTAAAGGGGGGCTAACCAGGGCATCTGCGGCATCCCCTGCCTTCTCTATGAAGCGATCTGTTGGGGGGCCGACTGTCTGGGTTTGCAGGCAATGGAGGGCTCCTGGAACATGGAACAACAGCATGAAGCAAACCACTTGGTCATCCTATCTGGTCTGTCTCTCCCTGGGAACCAGCTCTCCCTCTTCCCTGTGCTGGTAACACTTTGTTTCCTCTAATATTAATAGTAACGATAATAATTAATATTTATTGAACATTTCCTTGAGGCCAGGCACTGACCTAAGTGCTTTATCTTCGCCGATCATTTAACAGCAAAGTGCTTGGAGGAGGTACTGGGATATCCCCATTTTACACACAAGGACAGGGCTAAGGAAGGTTGCCAACTTGCCCAGGGTCACACTGCTACTAAGCGTCAGAGCTGTAATTTGAACCTGAGTCCCTTCGACCCAGACTTGAGCAAGAACTCTGGCACACGCCGCCCTAGAGCAAACTTGCCTGACACACTCTCTTTAGGACAGGGAGCCTGACTGTCCCCTGCATTCTCCACCTGCCCCCACCTGGCTCCGTGGGGGCCGCTCCCTAACTGCGGACACAGATTACGCTCCACAACTCGCTCACCTGCATCGAAACGCCCAGCCCCTCTGCCCAGGGATTCCAGCCAGCAGCTGGAAGGGGCTGAAGAAATGGGAGTGAAACCTCCTTTTCATTTTTTTAATTAAAAATAAATTTTTAAAAAGATTTATTTATTTTCGAGAGAGAATGCTAGAGAGCAGGGGCAGGAGCAGAGGGAGAAGGAGAGGGAATCCTCAAGCAGACTCCCCACTGAGGACAGAGCCAGATGTGGGGCTTGACCCCAGGACCCCGAGATCATGACCTGAGCTGAAATCAAGAGTCAGATGCTTAACTGACTGAGCTAAGCCACCCAGGTGCCCCATGAAGCCTTTTTTTTTTTTTTTAAAGATTTTATTAATTTATTTGACAGAGAGAGGGGTCACAAATAGGCAGAGAGACAGACGGGGGTGGGAGGTGGGACGCAGACTCCCTGCCGAGCAGACAGCCCAATGCAGGCTAAAGGCAGAGGCTTAACCCACCGAGCCACCCAGATGCCCTGAAGCCTCCTTTTTAATGACAGTCCAGACCAACTTGGTTGGGCACGTTTTTCTCTCTTGTTATCTGAGCAGTTTGACTGGGAGACTCAAGGAGCAGTTTTATAAGCTGGGGGTTGATTTTGCAGAGGACTTTGGATCGAGTCCTACCTCGGGCACCCCTTAACAGTGTCACCCTGGGCAATTTTCTTCACCTCCCCAGGCCTCAATATCCCCATCTGTACAATGGGGAGAGAATCATGAGACCCTTGCTCATAGGGTTGTGTGTAAGAATTAAGTAAGTTCCTAGCTAATTTATTGAACAAGCTGAACACTTACACACCGGGCATCTTGTGAGTATAATATAATCCTGTATAAACAAATCCCTTCCCCAGTCTGGTGGGGTAGGGACTCTTCAGTGCTCCCATTTTATTGATAAGGAAAATGAGGCAAAGAGGAAAGCGACTTGCCCAAGGCGGTGGGGAACAGGATTTGACTCTTAGCAGCTTGGCTATGGCATCTGTGTTCTTAACCAGTGTGCCAGGCTAGGCATCAGAGGCCCAGTCTAGTGCCCTACAAATCCAGGGCTCAGGAAGCACCTGCTGATTGTTGGCCTTCATCACCAGCCTCTTAGCTCCAGGCCAACCCCTGCACAGCCTCTGGTGATAAGAAGCTCCGGCATCTTCCTGCCATCGCTGCCCGCCCCCCCATGGTGGCCCTGCTCACAGGCCCCGCCCAAGGAGACCTCTGGGAGCTCCTGCTGTGGGACCCACACGCGCCCTTACCTGAGTTGGCCAGAGCCAGCGCCTTGAGTGTCACAAACTCCTCCTTCTCCACCTTGAGCTTCTTGTACCTGCGCACCAGCTGCAGGATGGCCCGGTAGAGCTCCAGCAGCCCGGCGAGGCGGGAGTGCTCCTCGTCCATGACATAGTCCTCAGCGAACACCAGCTTGTCGTCGTAGGGCAGCGAGCGGTACACGATGCCCAGGATCAGGATCTCCATCCAGGCGCTCTGCAGCAGGCTCATCTGATCCCCGAGAGACAGATTCGAGAAGCCTGCGGCATGAGAAGGGGCAAGGAGGGCGGCAGCAATCAGGTGGGCTGGCTGGAGGAGGGGGTCCCGGGCACCTCTGGATCCCACCCCGCCCTCTGTCCCAGCTGGATTCCTTTTCCTTTCCTTGATCAAGGAGTCAGACGGGGAATTCATGCGAAAGACTTACACAATGAGAGCTCAGTCAATGTTGACAGTCGCTATCACTATTATTGTTAGTTCTATGCCGTTTTTTCGAAATGTCTGTAGAGGCTTTTTGATTAATTAAATGCATCTGTAATTTAAGGAGTTATTAAATTCATAGCAGAATCAAGAGGCAGCAGTATAGGGTCCCCTTTCCCCCAGGGGACTTTGCAGATTTTTCTCTCCGCTCAGCCAGGGGAGACTTTGGTGTTTTAAAGGACACCTGATCCTCAGTGCAAAGTCTCAGCTGTGTGTGCTGACCCAAGGGCCCAATCAGGAAAGAGGACTCAGCTGTTCCCGGCCAGTGATCACCCCCGCCCCCCAGTGACCACAGCCTGGGGCCACTAAGAGCTCAAGAGCCCCCAGGGTCAGAGGGTACTTTCTCACAGGCAGCCTGTCCCCCAGGGGTCAGACCCCTGCTGCCCCCGCCATCACTCTCCACCTAACAATGACCTGAGCTGTCCTGCATTCTGTGAGCTTAGAATCATGGGAGTTTCCCCCTCCTGGCTAGCAAGGACGCCGACTCCAGAGCAGAAGGAGGTCAGCGATGGGGAAGACTCCAGAATTATGTCACCGTCTGGTCCAGCGTGCTCGGGAGACTGCCTGGGCCTGAGTCCCAACCTCCCCTCTCCTAGCTGTAGGCTGACCACGTGAAAGCTATGTAACTGCCACAAAGCTCAGTGTCCTCTTTTGTAAAATGGGCAGACAGTAGCACCCACTTCAGACTCACAGGACATCTAAATGAGACAATGGTTGCAGAACCTGTATCATGTTCTCAGAGCTCACACAAATGTTACTGATGAGACGAAAACCCCACAGCGTCATCGCCCAGCAAGCCGGAGCCAGGGTGGTGCCTGAGGAGGTCGCTATGATTACTGTTTTTGTTGTTATTAGCATGCTGTCGGCCTGACTCCCCTCTCCTTTCTGGGCATGGCTGGAGGCCCAGGGTGGTCCCGAGCTTCAGCATAGGCCCACTGCTCTGGGTTTCCACGGAGTCTGTCCTACTCTCCCCTGCTGTCCCCTGAGTTAGTAAACTCCACTGTCCCTCTCCCAACCAGCACAGACGTGGTCAACTTTAGGGGGCAGTCCGAGGTGGAAGCCCCTTCACCAGGTGGGTTCCCGTCTGCTGGGGAGCACCCTCTCAGGCCAGTCATCATGGTTCCTGAGTGCGATCTATACCATCCCCTGCCCCTGCCCAGGCTCAGTGACTGACAAAAAACAACACCGATGGAGAGGGGTGCGCCTCTCCTCGGGGACAGGCTGTGGCACTGGGTTGTGGGGGGGCGGTAAGGTGCATGCATACTGTCTGGATCCCAGTGCACAAGGGGTGTGTGGCAGCCTGTGGTGGCAGGGACAGCCGGGAGGTAATAAAAGGCAGATAGAATGGACATCCAATTTCCCTTATCGGGCCTCTGAGCGGGAGAGGACTTGGGCGACATTAATTAACAGATCCCAATCAGCCGGCTCATGGGGGGGGGGGGAGGGGGGGGCAGGGGGGGGGGGGTGCGCGGGAAGCGGACAGATCGGGAGGGGAGACGTAGGAGGTGGACAGGGCGAAATTAACAGACAATTGAATCGGAAGGTGGCAAAAGGCGAGGTGAGGGAAGAGCAGGGGCTTCGGGAAAGGAAGGAGAGAAGATGCCGTGAGGCCCACCACGCAGGTACGACCCCTAGAGGTAACAACGTGCTTCTGTCTCTTTGTTCCTTGGGCAAATCCTCACTGGGCACCTGCTAAGCGCCAGGCACTGGGGACAGAATGGCAAGCTGGAACCAGAACGAGCTCCCGTGTGCAAGAGCTTGCAGTCCAGAGGGAAAGTGTCGCCCCAAGCCCCGAGCTCTGCTGGGATCTCGCAGTTAGGACAATTCGAAGGGCCAGAGAGATGGAGGGGGCTCTGAGGACACACCATGGGCGAACGTGGCCCAAACTGGAAAGTGCGGGAGACTGAGCCCTGCAAAGTGAGAGGAGCTCTGTCGGGGCTGGTGAGGACGTCCAGGTGAGCACATCTGCGTGCCAGGATGGGCTTCCCTGTGCTGCCCAGCAACTGGCCTGGGACAACTTCCCCACTGCCCAGCAACTGGCTTGGGACAAAGATGACACCCAATGCATATTCCTAGCAGAACTGCATGAACCAATGCCACTGGGCCCTGACTCCTAGGTGACCAGAAAATGGACCCACAAAGAAATCAGTGAGACCCTCTTCATCCTTTAGACACAGGTTCAGATTCTGCTGCCTCTGCCCCTTGTGTACAAGCCAGTGACAGGTCCTCTGGGTAAGGGCAGAGCAGGTGGCGGGAGGAAGGGAGCCGGCGCCTCTGAGAGTTTGTGCCTCCCTCCAAGGCTAGACCTCCTTGAAGAAAAGAAACACTAGAAGGGAAAATGAAAAATAAAAACAGCTCTAGGAAAAAGAAGGGGAGGAGACAGGGATGGAGGGGAGGGTTTTATGGGCACATTTTTATTTAGTTTTGGCTTTTGAACCTGTCCATCCTAAGATGTTCCCAAAATAAAACTAAATCAAGCATAAAACAAAAGGCTTGCCCCCATCAACCTAGCAAGTCCACACTAGGAATTTCTCTCATAAACACCTAGATAACTGGGAAAGGGTGTTTGTTAGGTCGGTCTGTAATGACCCCAAACAGGAAACAACCTAAATGTAACGAATGTGATACATGTAATTACCATATAAACCTAATTATTAGCTAAATGAATGGTACATTAGAAGCCACCAGAAAGAATGAGGCAGAACTGTTTTTGTGGGTGTGGAAAGATACCCACGAGTGTAAGGAAGACATAACTGTATTAAGGGCACAGACACCAGAGCCAGACTGTCTGTTGGAATTCTAGCTCTGCTGGCCACTGGCTGTGACCCTGGGCATGTCCACTTCTCCGTGCCTCAGTTTCCTCCTCTGTAAAATGGGAATAATAATAATACTTCCTTCATGGGACTGTGGGATGAAATGAGCTATCACAGAGAACATTTAGTACAGTGCCTGGCCCCAGGTAAGTGCTACTATGTTACATAATTAAATGAAAGAAGCAGGATACAAAGCAGCATTAAAGAACAGCCCTATGTGGGGCACCTGGGTGGCCCAGTGGGTTAAGCCTCTGCCTTCAGCTCGGATCATGATCCCAGGGTCCTGGGATAGAGCCCCGCATTGGGCTCTCTGCTCAGCAGGGAGCCAACTTCCCCCTCTCTCTCTGCCTGCCTCTCTGCCTACTTGTGATCTCTGTCAAATAAATAAATAAAAATCTTTATAAAAAAAAGAACAGCCCTCTCCTAGGGGGAGAACGCGCAGGCGCACACTGACATGCACCCAGGGGCTCTACGTGCACAGGAAATTCCCGGGGATGTTTTAAGAAAGATGAGGAATTCGGAACTCCTAATATCCATTCCTCTGTCACATCTGACATCTTTACTAGAAACAGCTTTACTAGAAGCACATATCCTTTCTTTTATTTAAACCCAAATGCAGGGCTGAAGCACTCCTCCCTGTCCTTCCGCCCAGCACCCTCCACTTCGGCTCTTCTGTGCTGGGCTGGGTCTCCTCCTTCAAGCAATCAGCAATTCTGGGACCGGGTCAGGGCTTGCTGCCCAGAGAGGCTGGTGTGGCCCGGGGCCCTGGCGTCACACACTGCCCCCTTGAGGTCCTGCTGGCTGCTCCCGCCTGTCTCCCCATGTCTCCCACCTGGAGCTCTGACCACCCCCCCACATCCCCCACCACCAAAGCTGCTTTATCTGCACCAACTGATCTGGTAACATTCAGGCTCTTCCGAAGCCCCATCCCCCAGTGACGTGAAGCATGATCTCCTAGAATTTAAGAAAAAAAAAAAAAAAAAAAGAGCACATAATTTGTGGCAAGTGGAGTTCATAATCTGTTAATTTATTATCGTTTCTGTCGACCTGGAGGGCCATTAGCAGAGGTAATAAAGGGAGATGTAATTATGGGATCTGAGGCCACTCCAGACACAGCTGCTGTCACTCGGCAGCCCATATTTTACTGGCCGCTGGCATTCCCGCCCCCGCAGGAGCCAGACGGTGGCTACCTGGGAGCAGGGCTTCCGGAGGAGGCCTCTGGGGGGGTCCCCCGCAGAGCCGGCAGGACAAGGCTCTCCTGGGCTGGGGCAGCCTTCGGGCCGCCTGGGGTGGCGGGATAACTGGCTAATAGTCCAGAGACTACAGTTTGTCAAGGGACACCCACTGCCTCTTCAAGGCTGCTGCCCCTGTGCGTGTGTGTCGCTCACGGGGAACAGGACGTGGGCACTCTATAGACTTGGGCTCGTCCCCTGAGCAACGCAGGGCTCGGGGAATTCCACTCAAGGAGAAGCCTGCGTGCGGCCTTAAGGCAGCGGCAGACGGACTCGAACGCGCGGCCGCAGTGCTGCATGAGTCGCCATCAGCCTTGGCTCCCCCTGGAACTCACCCCTGCAACATGTGTGCTCAAAAACAGGAGTGAAAGGAGCGGGGCTGCTGGGAAAGGAGTTTGTGCTCAAATGATCCTTCCTCCTGGCCACACCGGTCGCTCAGCGCCCATGTGCACAGGTCAGTTTCTGGGCTCAGCCTTAAAACTCGTGTTCTGGGCACCCCGATGCCTTCTGATGGCCATGGCCCACCATCCCAAAGGCCTGGCTCAGGTTTTGCTCTCTGTCCCTAAAACCCCTGGAGTCCCTCGTGCCTGGGGACACTGGCCCGTGGTTCTTCTTGCTGCATTCTAAGTATGCGGGATAGGAGATGGCAAACAGGGCAGAGGAGAGGCGAGACGGGCCGTGGGTGGTAGCACTGCAGCGGCATGCACGGACGTGCCCGATACTATTTGGTCTCTTTTCGTATGGTTAAAATTTTCTATGAAAAAGTATTTTGTTGTTTTTTGGTTTTTGTTTAAATTATCCATCTTATTCCCAAATGAGGTCCTCAGGGCAGAAATTAATCGAATTCTTTGTATCAGCCCCAACTTCTAGCAAGAAACCTTACATACACCTAATGCTCAATAAATGCATGCAAAGGCAAGTATGAAGCACCCTCTGTGTGCCAGGCTCTGAACAGATCCTGAGAGGCTAGCCCATACTGGCCCACGAGATAGGGTTTCCTGTGCTTAAGTTGAGTGGGCTGGGTGCCAACCCGTGCCATCTTAAGGAGAGAGTCCTGTGGTCGAGGACAGGATGGGCAAGGGCGGACAGCAGTCCCGGTGGGGGTGGGGCTGCTGGCTTGCACCTACCCTGCTAAAACCTCTCTTTCTGGCTCTCTCTCCCTCTCTCCCTCTCTCCCTTAAGGGCTAGTGAGCAGGTCTGGAGGTGAGTTTTCTGTCTAATCTGAGACGGAAATAAGTCGATTAGTTTAAATATATCATGCACTTGATATGTCATCGCCCCTAATAGAAAGGTTTACATGTGGCGGCAGGAGACTCTTAATTAATTTTACCTTAAACACTAGAAGGTCGGGCCCAAATAATTCAGCATGCAAATTTATGCAAAATAGGCAAATTAGTGTTTCAGACAGACAAATGAGCCCCTATGTTTATTTTATTTTTTAATCAAAAAGAATTCAGCTTGGACAAGGAAAAATGGAGATGGGAAAGGAGGCTTTTCATACTATTAGCAAAGACAATGACCCGGTCACGGTCATCCCACTTGTGCCATAACCTCTGTTATGATTCCTGAGTCACAGGCAAGGGCACTAAAGCTCAAGTCGGTCTGAACCCGAAGTCTATGCCCCAACAACCACCCTCCTCGGCCCACTGCCCTCTTGGTGGGCACCAGCGGGAGATGGGAGTTGGGGGGGTGGCAGGAAGATGTGGGAGAAGAGGGGTGCAAGGGAGACCGTGCCTCCTGGTTCTACGCCTGCCCTCAGAGGTGTTGAGGGCACTGGTGGCAGGAGAAGCAGCAGTGACCTGGGGGTGCCACCAGGAGCCACTCCTGAGCCATTGCTGGGACACGGCAGAGGACTGAGCGTGTGGGCTGGGGACAGCACGGGGAGGGGGAGAGGGAGCTGTACCAGATTTGGCCCTGGGTTAGTGGAGCAATCCAGGCTGAAGTGTCTTAAGCAGTGGCTTGACCCCACATCTGTGCTGAATCAGCACAGGCCAGATTCAAAGCCACTGAGCGTGTCATCCCAAGAGACTGAGCTCCTTAGTAAGGGCGCTCCAGCTCAGGTTCCCCGGGAGCCCACCCCGAGTCAGAACGCCAGGGGCCATTAGGGAGTCCCCGTGGAAGAAATCCTACGCTTCCTGCCAGCTAAGTGACACCAGCATCACCTCCTGAGGCCTGGTCGGCACAGGAAAACTCCTTCCTAAAGGCTGAGCACACCTCTTACACAAGGACATTCTGACTCACTCCCATCCACTGTGGGCTTTGGCATGAGAAGTCTAGGACACCTTTGCTACATCACCATGCACACTGTATCCATTTCTCAGAGCTGGTGACAAACACGAGAAGGATCTATAGACAGGAAGATAAACTGCCCCGTGTCACAGAGCTAGTAAAACTCCAAGTCCACGGTGGAACACAGGATGTCCCAGCACACACGAGACAAGCTGTTAGAACCGAACAAGGGATTCACTGCACAGCCTTTGCAAACTGCCCAACGTGTGTGTAATGCAACGTATGTGGCTACCGGTGTCTACAAAAACAAAACTAAGGATCATTTTCCACCGTTTATCCAGGAGGAAGCTGAAAGACAGGTTTGGGCCATATACAGCGAATGAAGTCTGTATCATGTGAAGCCTGTTCACACACGCTTAGGAGAGAGGCCTCCCTCCCCATCAGGCACACAGCGACGTGAGTCCACGATGAACACTAGCGTGTCCGCACATCACTCATGCTCACAGTTCATCCTCATCCAAGCCCATGAAGGAAGCACGGTTGGCATTCCCTATTCACAGAGGGCGCAGGGGACCCGCTCAGGGAGACACAGCTCGTAAGTTACAGACCCAGAACCCGAATCCCAGTCCCTCTCCCCAGCCCGTGTTCTTAACCACACCAGTCCACCTGCCTCTAAAGGAAGCAAGAGCCTCAATTCTCGCCCGCATTGTTTCCTCGTGCATTTCCAGTAAGGTCTGCAAGGAAACCCTTCCTTGGCCTTCAAGGATTCAAAAAAATTTGCTCTCTGGATCTTAACCTATCGTGGATGCCATCGCCACACCTCTAGGATGGTAACTGGTTCTGAAAAGTACCAAGAATGTTCAAGAACATTACTGGGCCTTCCCACACCTGCTCACCTCCAATCCCACAGGGAGAGAAAAGGAGCCCAGAAGAAAAGATGGCTTCCAGGCTCCCAGGCTCCCAGGCATCAGGACCACGGCCGTGGGGACGGTGGCTGAGTGTCCCTGGCCCCACGGGACTCACCTGGGATGTGCTTGGCCCAGCCGATGATGACCACGAGCTCCCTGTCAGCCAGGTCACAGAGAGTGGTCAGGGCCTTGATGTCGCCCTCGGGCATGCCAGGGGGAGGCATGGCATACAGCTTGTCGGGCTCGGCCACCAGCAGGTAGGAGACAATCTTGGTCACTGCCAATGACCAGAGGAGGAATGTAAATTTTGGGGAAAAGAGGAAGGTACTCAGGAAGAAAATTCGGGATCTGGGGAGTCCCAAAAGGTCACCTCCCTTCCCTCTCTGACTCCGCAAACTTGTTGGCCATGGTGATTTGGGTTCCTGACAAATATCCAAGGGAAGCTGCTGGTGAATTCTCTCGAGAGGACCCTGCTTTGAGTGGGAGGTGAGGGCGGCATTCTGGATGCTGGCCCAGGCCTTCGTAGGATCATGCTTCGCTTGGAGCCATATTCCATAAATCCCACACGGAAAAGCCTTGTGAATGAAGGCACCAAGCCAGGCACTGAGGCCACCTTCCCCAGATGCACACTGTCCCAGACCCAGCAGTGGGAAGGTGGCACTGCCCCCAAAGGATACCAGATGTTCCAGGCATGATGTGGACAGAAGGGGCACGGGTGACCCTGGCACTCACATGGCTTTTTAGCAGGTGGGGAAATCTGTAAGCTCAGGTACGGGCTGCTCTCAGAGTCCAGCCGCCGTTTGTATTTCTGGCGGCCTCCACGCACTCGGTCAAGGCGCACACCTGGGGAAAGAATGGGAAAAGGTATTAGGTTTTCGACTCGATGCCTTTCCAGCTGCCCTGGGGCCAGCCTCAGGACAGAGTCGGGCAATCCTCACTCAACTCTCTGATACCAACAGCCCCTGGGCCCGGCCCCGCCTCCGGTTCTGCATCCTCCTGAACCCTATCCTGAGCAACCTTCAGTTCTCGAGCCTTTCTGTCTCTAGAGGGAAACACAACAGAAGCGCTCCTCTAGGTGTCAGGGAAGGGAGACTCCTTATTGTAGATCTGCTGGGAACCCAGGGAGTGCTGAGTTGGTTTGCAAGAGAGGAAAGGAATCTCGGCCTCTAGCAGGTACCTCAAATATGAAAACAATAATTTTTTTTTAAACAAGAATTTTCAAACTTTTCACATACATGGCATCTGGATAGGGGTTCATGACAAACATCAGTTTCTGGATCCCACCTTCCGAGACTACAGGATGGCATTCTACGGTCTCTTCTAGAACAGAGGGAGGGTGAGGACTGGTCAGGGCAGCGGGAGTACCCTCAGAAGCAGGGGTGTGGGCAGCCCTGGGCCAGACGCTCCTAGACGGGGATGCAGGTGAGGTGTCCTGACCGCAGCTAGTGAGTGAACACCGCCGAGTCTCCCAGCAGCAGGTGCAAAAAGCAGGTGTGGCCATGCCACCCTAACATCCCTCCCCAGGAGAGAGGACCTCTCTCAGAGAGATCCGTTATTTCTCCGGGTCTCTAGGGCCTTCCAGAAACCCACCCCACCCCTCAGCTCCCGCTGTCTAGAGAGACATGCTGGTACCATCTGATACCCCTACCAGCTCACAGGGTGGACAGGACCTCCACCAATCTATGCGGCCTGGCCTAGAAAACGGATGGGATCCAACAAACTAGCAGAGCGGCGGGCTCCTGTTTCCTTCCCATGAAACAGGCCTTGACTAAAACACATAATAAGGGGCACCTGGGTGGCTCAGTCATTAAGCGTCTGCCTTGGGCTCAGGTCACAATCCCAAGATCCTGGGATCGAGCCCGCATCCGGCTCTCTGCTCAGCAGGGAGCCTGCTTCTCCCTCTCCCACTCCCCCTGCTTGTGTTTCCTCTCTCGCTGTCTCTCTCTGTGTCAAATGAATAAATAAAATCTTTTTTAAATAAATAAATAAATAAATAAATAAAACACATAGTAAGTCAGACAGAGCCGGAGTCCTGAGGGGAGGACAGCGGGGTGGTCTCCTCAGCCTCTGAGCTGACAGGCCCAGCTCAACCCCTCTTCCTCTCCTAAAGGTCAGTGGCATCGCCCTCACAGAGCCCCAGCAGTGCATCCTCATCCAGGGCCCCGTCTGGCACTTTCCCCAGCACCTCCTCCTGCCTCTCCTCCCAGGGTGGTAGGGGCGGCCACTCATCCTGTCCGCTCAGGCCCTTCTCGGGCAGAGGCAGGAGGAAGGGACGGTAACTGAATAGGTTGAGGATTTGGATCCCATTCATGCCAGGGGTGATTTTCTGGCTGATTCTTAGAACGCACAGCTAGTCCATTTCAGTCCCTGGGACCAGAGAGAAGTCCCCTAGAGCCACAAGAGCCACTGAAAGTAAAATCACTGTTTTCTGAATGGCAGGGACCAGCCCTTCAACTGCTAACTGCCCTAAAGGAACTTGGGATGATGAGTGCCTCGGGTTGAGAGCTCAGACCACCTCCTCCCCCAGGGGCAGCAAACTAGACTGCCCAAGGGGACGGTGTCTTTGGCCAGTCACTGCTCCGCATTTCCATCAGCAGGTGTCCCTTTTACTACAGACAGATGCTCCTGTACTCGATGCCGGACATGGCTGCAGTGAACTTTTTCGGGGGGTAGAGTGTCTACCCCGCATCCCACCCCTGCTCCTTGTGTGAAGGTAATTTCCCCTGTGGTGCGTCATCTTGGAGGAGGCCTGTGCCCAACCCCAACTCTGGATATCCAAGTGCGGCAGGTCCTCCGGCTGGTCCCCATCTGGAGGTCGAAGCATGGCCCTGGGACATACAGGCCCAGTCCACGGGAGGCTTTGATCGAATGGCACATGGTCAGGGCAGCCTCAGGCCACACGCTCCCTGCCACCACATCTCCTGTGCCTGGGCTTCCCCTGGCCCTTGCTGGCCTCTCAGTGTGCTCTTGGAGCCTCTGGAGAAGCTTCTAGTGAACTCCCCTTTTGCATTGAGGGGCAGAATGGACTGCAACTGACCACAGCTGCACCTGGGTTCTCCAGACCCTGCGGCGAGGAGAGTTTATCCAGAAGGTGAACTCGGGAAGACAGCCAGTAACCAGACCCTGAGCAGGGGTCTCCGGGTGTCGGCTCCGGAGGCTTGGCCTCACTGAGGACCCTAGGAGACAAGGTAGGACACGCCCCAGGGACCTCTACAGCAGATGAGGGCCTTGGGGCGTTCACACAGGGTGCCCAGAGAAAGCCCCCGGCCAAGCGGCGCTCACGAGGTAGCACTTGGGTCAGCACGTGCGTGACAGAGGGCTGCGTGGATGCACGTGGGACGCTGACTGGCTGCTGCCCTCCTCCTTCTCTGGGGTGGTCCCGGCCAGGCCTCTCCTGGGAGCGAGTCTGAAATGCAAACAACTCAGGCTGCCCCCCACGAATCCGAGTCAGCATGCTCACAAGGTGACTCTGGGCACGGAGGCCGGTGAGTCTGGGAAGCATCCGAGCGACCAGCCGTGCCTCGGACCTTGAAGGGGAGAGCAAAGACCCATCCCGCACAGGACCTAACACCCATGTGCTGGGAGGACTTTGGCTCCCACCCTCCACCCCTCCCGGCTGCTCAGGGCAGAAGGGGCACAGAAACGTAGGAAGGACGGCTCCTCCCTTGAAGGTTCTGGGGGCAAAGGTCCCTGTTCTCCTGAACCCCTCCTGTGATCCAGCCACAGAGCAGCTCACCCCTGCCTACGACACTGAGAGCCAAACCCTCTACCAAGCTCTGCTTTTTCTTGGAAAGCTGGTGAGATGAAAAGCGAAAATGCCGAGCTTCGTTCACAGAGAACAATGAGGACGCCCCTTTCCTGCGCACCTACTACGCAGCAGGGTCTGCCTGGAGTCCAGGAGGAGCCCCTTCCCCACTTCGACTTTCTCTCCTGGTTCTCCCTTCCACCCCGCGGCTGTCAGCAGGAGTGGGAACTGCTCGACAAAACAAAGAACGAGGGAGGCGTCCCTTGGCGAGGCTGGCACTTGCCACTTCAGTCACCACCTCGACCTGGAATGTTCTCAGTCCGGACACAGGGCCCCACCTTTAGTGGATGTTCAGGAAGTCTCGGTGCATACAGGAACCGATGGGCCTCCTTCCCCCCCCCCAGGAGGGCCGGGTGCTTCTTCCAGGGCTCCAACAGCACAGCACCCTGGCTTCCCCTCCCGACCAGGAGCCTCTACCCGGTGGGCTGCTCTCTGTCCCATTCAGGGTCTGTCATGGCGCCCAAAGCCCAGCAGATGTTGAGAAAGTCAGAGCTGTTACTGACATCATCACCATTATTATTACTACTCTTCTCCGACACTGTAAGTCACAGTAAGAAGAATCACGAGGAGGCGCCTGGGTGGCTCAGTCGGTTAAGCGTCTGCCTTCAGCTCAGGTCATGATCCCAGGGACCTGGCATGGAGTCCCACACAGCTCCTTGCTCAGCAGGGAGCCTGCTTCTCCCTTTCCCCCTGCTCCTCCCTCTGCTCAAGCTCTCTCTCTCAAATAAATAAAAAAATAATAATATTAAAAAAAGAACAATCATGTAAACAGCCTAATTTATGGAGGACTTTTGCTATGTGTTACCCTTTTTCATCTACAGCATATGAAGCTGGCACACTTATCCCCATTTTATGATTAAGAACCACTGAGGCTCAGGGGATGGTTGAGGGATCTGCCCAATAAAGGAGCCAGGACCCACCAACTCTTGGCTATGCCAGGGTACCACCCCCCAGGACCCAGCCTGTGTCATCTTCCGTCTACATTTTCTCCTTCAGATCTTCACGGCAGGATGGTCAATGGCTCCAATCAATACACACATCAATTATCAGCTTATTCTGTTTTAAGAAAAGTAGCCCACTGGGTTTGATTTTGCCCAAACTGAGGCCTGACATGAGCCAGGCTTGCCTCCTGGCTTCCTGCCTGCTTTCCCAAGTCTCACCCCAGCCACGAGCCCATAAGGGCTCCAGCCCACGGGATCCAGCGGGCAAGGATCCACGCCCATCTTGATGGCTCAAAAGGTTTTGGCGCAGCTGGCTCTCATAGCGTCCGTCTCATCATCAGGTATGGAGGGGGCAATGGTGACACCAACTCTGCTCGCCAAATATGGCTTTTGTGATCATCATAGTGGGAAAATGCTTGGTCAGTTGGCAGTGATTCCAGTAGGCCAGGGGATCCCGGCTGTCCCTCCCGCCGCCATGCTCAGCAGCCTTCATGGGGACTTTGCCACACCACCTTGCACATGCTTCCCTCTGTTCCCATCCACTCTTCAGTAGGGTCTTAAGGGAAAGAGCCCATGTTAGCTCTGCTTTCTGAGCTCTCCTCCCCCCATACTGTCCCAAGGGTAAAGAGGTCATCATATTTAGGGTGGAGGAGTCCTGAGGTGTAGGCCTGGGCTTCCCAACCCAGAGACCCCCTTCCCACAGGCTGCGCCCCCACCTAAGTGACACAGCCGTATCCTTCCAGCCCACGCTGTTCCCAAAGGCCAGTGAAGATCTGGATTCACCCTCGAAAGCCCAGTTCAAGTATCAGCTCTACTGAGAAGCCTTCCAGACTCCCCGGAGCAGAGCTGGCCACACCCTTCTTGAGCTCCCTTCGCTTACTCTCTATTACGGCAACTACAGTCAAAACAACAACTCTTCACAGTACACTGTGCTCATCCCCCTGCTGGACTATGGGCACCTCCTGGGCAAGGACTTTCATCTTTGTCGCCCAAGCTCAGCACCCAGCCCGTGGGAGGCAGCCAAGCATGTGAGTAGAATGATGTACCAGTTCAAACCAAAGCCCTCACACTTAGGGAACAAAAGAATCTCAGGGTCT